TAGACTATATAATACAAAATGGTATGTTGCTGTTCAGGTACCTGCATTTCACAGTATTAGTGGTACGCATACCCCGACCTGAAGGGTCTGTGTACCCGACCACTGATGTACAAAATTTCCAACCATTCAAGATGTTTCTAAGAACGTTAAAATATAGAAATTTATATTTCTGCTGCTACATTTTTTAATATTACATTTAAATATTATATTTCTTAAGTGAAAGAGAATGTCTTTCTAAAATATCCCCAAAATTAATTAAAATTGTCCCAAAACAAAAAACACCAAATGGCACATTATTAGTAGCAGGTTTCTTTAGATTTTATTTTTCCTTGATTTACAGTAAAACATACAACACCATGAAACTATAAAGAAGATTGTATAATATCATACACTGTCATGACGATTTTTGAGTAAATGCTGCTTTTGTATCTGCATCCTTCATAAAACCTGATATAAACATTTCTTTTAGTCTGAAAATTAGGGAAATTTGTTGAATCGAGCAACTTTAATCACATTAACCTGTGCATAAACAAAAAAATAAATGAGAAAATTTGTGCATTATTCGATCAAAGTTTGTTCCGTTTTTATTTTTTTCCGGGTTTCCAGTAAATGTTATTCAAACCGTGAAATGTGCGCTTGAGATTATTATTGTCAGCCCATTCAGAGTTAAGGTAACTATCATCTTCGTCCATTTCCAATTTTTTCAGTTCCTCTTGTTTGCGAAAAGCGTGCGCCATCAGTTGTTTTCTTTGTTCTTCCGACATTATTGGTTCTCTTGCAGGTGGCCCCTCACCTCTTTTAGACAACTTGATGGTAACCTGCATGGATACACAATCTTAACAAACTCTGTACATATATAAATGGACGTGTGTGTGCGTACATGTCTATATTTCACTCTGTAGCTTCAGTGTAATTAGACTATAATTGTAAGTCTTGATTAATAAATATATTATGAGACGTATAAAATTCATATAACCAGACTTGCAACTATAGTATAATTGTAAGTCTTGATTAATAAATATATTATGAGACGTATTATATTTATTAATCAAGACTTACAATTATAGTCTAATTGTAAGTCTTGATTAATAAATATATTATGAGACGTATTATGATAAAATTCATATAACTAGACTTGTTACCTTGCAGTTTTCTATTTTTCCGACATAATCTCTTAATGTTTTTCCATCTCGATACATCTCCTTTCCGCAAAACCACAACTGAGCGCTTGCAGGATCTATAACTTCCAAAGATGCTTGCGTTCCAGACAAATCTTCTATATTTTCTAGTTCCATTCTGATAACATCATGAGGAGGTAGTTTCATGGGATAAACAATCATGACCGCGCCTCTCAATAAATCAATCGCCTGTTGGACAACTTTCATCGTTAAACGTATTCCTTGAGGAACAAGAATCTTTGGCGAAATTAAATCCTTTGCCTCTTTTATAGTTTTATTTAATAAATCTTGCATATCCTTTTTGGGTTGTTTTCCATTTCTGCGTCCGATCGGATCCTTCACTAAATCATAACCGCCACTTGGAATACACCTCTCGCCCCAATAGTCTTCTCTTTTGAGCTCTTTAACTTGTTCTTCTGTAAGTCCCAAAATCTCAGGTGGATAAAGCGTGCCATATTTGGCTAGTTCTTCTAGTTCTCCACAAATGCGATCTACTTTCAAACACCCGTTGTATATTGTAGCAAGTGACTGAGCCAAATCATCAATTTTAGTATTGAGACATGTCTCATAAATGAACTTGTTTTGATCATTACGTTTAATGTAAATAAGTACCATTGTTAACATTAGTAAATGAACATGGAATATTTCAATTTGACATTTGAAAATATATTTCGCATTTGACTTGACGACAGTGTATATTTCGTTAATAAAATATTGACTAAACTTACCAAACCGTTGCTTTGGTTACAGAAAGTAGTTATCTTCATAGGGCAATTGAAATTCTCAAGGACAAATTAATATTAGGACGTTTTAAATCCTACCAAAGAAGTGCTACCTTATTATGTCCTTATTCATTTTTTTTTGTATATTTATCGGTAGGAGCCTTTAAGCTTAACGAAAACTGTATATAGGGTTGTTCGGAAAGTCATTTCATTTTTTCCCGACAGAGGATTTAATTGTATTCTTTTGCACCCAACTTCACATTTAAGCCGTATAATTTTTATATGCTTTGAGAGCTCATATAGCAAGGCTTGTGTGTGAAAAATTCCAATTAATTCTACGCA